TTCTCCTACTAGTCCAGCTCCTTACCATCTTACTCTTCCTTCCTCCTCACACAGACACACACAACCTTCCACTGTCATCTTCTTACTCCTCTTCCCCTCTCCTTCTCCTACTAGTCCAGCTCCTTACTATCATACTCCTCCGCTTCCCCTCTCCTTTTCCTACTTGCCATCTTCTTTTTCCTGCCATCTTCTCCTCCTTCCCACATTCCCCGCACCTTCTCCCTCCCTTCCGTCCCGAATTCCAGCCAGTCTGCGTCCCCGCCTTCGTCCCCCTCTTCTTTTTGTTTTTCTTTTTTTTCTCTATTTTCAAAAAGGGTGACAGTCTTGAGATAACACCATTGAGGTGACGGGGCCCCAGGGTTACTCCGGGCGATAGCTGGGCCAAGTACTTGTGGTTTAGAAAAAAAAGAAAAAAGAATATTTGGTTTTCCTCATCAAATTCCAGCATCTGGGTTCGAACACGGGTGGTGTACCCACTGATCTAAGCTCTTGGTTCTTCCCCTCTTTCTTCCCCCCTTCCTTCCCCCCCGCGTTCCCCCCGCGTTCCCCCCGCGTTTCCCCGTGTTCCCCCCTCGTTCCGCCAATTTCCCCCCCTGCCTTGTAGCGCCCTGGCAGGGCGGTTGGAGTGGCGAGGCCCGACCGACCGGCCGACGGGTGGACCCGCAAATTGGGTGACGGACCGACCGACAGAGTAGGCCTGTTACGGACTACGCCAGGGCTCGATCCCTGGTCTATCTTTTTGCTGTTTTGGTTGAATCTCGTCACCCCTTTTCCAAACCCCTCCTTTGGTACTATAGGATTTTGGACAACGGGCGCCATGCTGCAATTCGGGCGCCACTTTCAAATACCATATTTTTCAGTTTTGGCCTCGGGGCCTTTTCAGACATGCCCCTGGTACCGTACGTGTCACCGGTACTTATACCGGCTCCCCGTACGGTACGGGGACAAGTCTCATACCAGTTTTATGCTGCTGTACTCGTACTCAGTGTGACTTATTGTTTCGACATTCGGAATCCAAGACTTCGACTTTGTGCCTTGCCACTGTGTCTGCGTCCGACCCGCGGTCCGAGTCCGTCGAGCGAGCGAGCGAGCGAGCAGGAAAGCGAGCGGGCGAGCGGGAAAGCGAGCGGGCGAGCGGGAAAGCGAGCGGGCGAGCGGGAAAGCGAGCGGGCGAGCGGGAAAGCGAGCGAGGAGGGAGCGACGAGGGAGCGGGAAAGTGAGCGAGGAGGGAGCGCAAAAGCGAGCAAGCGAGGAGGGAGCGGGAAAGCTAGCGAGGAGGGAGCGAGCAACGAGGAGGGAGCGAGCAACGAGGAGGGAGCGAGGAGGGAGCGGGAAAGTGAGCAAGGAGGGAGCGCAAAAGCAAGCGAGCGAGGAGGGAGCGGGAAAGCTAGCGAGGAGGGAGCGAGGAGGGAGCGAGGAGGGAGCGAGCGAGGAGGGATCGAGGAGGGAGTAAGAGGGAGCAAGCGAGGAGGGCACGAGGAGGGCACGAGGAGGGAGTGAGGAGCGAGCGAGGGAAGAGGAAGCCAGCGAGCGAGCGAGCGAGGAGGTAGCCTTCCCCCCCTTCCCCGCCTTCTTCTTCTTCTTCTTCTTCTTCTTCTTTCTTCCTCTTCTTTTTTCTTCTTTCTCCTTTTTCT